GTTCTCCAAAAGCACTTATGCTTTGCCACTTATGCCACGCGGGCTGCCAGGCTATCGTCGAGCCTCGCCACTCTAAATATCATAGCCGCCATGCTGGTGTATACACAAGAAGTTCAAACAATTAATACACGTTGTTTATACGCAGAGGCTATGGGTACGGCAGCCGTATCTTAATGTATCGAGGCTACGGGTACGGCAGTCATACTACGCATGCGCTGCAGCCGTATCTTAAAGTTAATGTCTCGAGGCTACGGGTACGGCAGTCTCACACACAAGTACAAACAGTCACCCTATTCCTAAACCTAACCCTAACCCAACCCTAACCCTAACCCATATGCAACCCTAACCCTATAACCCTAACAATAACTCGAAACCGACTCGGCTATGTTATATACGCGTGTTATAGTACCCAATTAATCTATGGTGTGTAACCTTTTGCTTTCAATATTTTGCATCTGAACTGACAATCAATCCCAACCAACTGGTGTAGGCTAGCTGGCACAATAATGTTCATTTTCATACTTTAAATCCGAGTGTTTTCTAGCTCATCAAGAAATCTTAATCGTGAATTAAATCGTGAATTAATTTCCAACAGCATTATTAAGGGGCAGGTAACTCAGTCTAACACGAGGTAGAGTAGACTGGTACACTTACCGACCACTCCTGCCATTGTCAGTGGTGACACGGACCTAAGAGTCGGCGTGCACCAGTCTACCATTCGCACATCTTTGGTTTTTCCGTCCAAAAGTAGGCCCTGCTGAAAAGTTAGCAGTCAGGGACTATGGGACCAGCTGCTATTTCCGACACTGGCATATGTCAGGTTTTCTGATTTATGAGGGGTGAACTCTATTTGGAACCAGCAAACCAGCAAGTTCACCCCTACATTTTGGTATTTTTATTCCATTATTATTTAATTATTTGCGATGGCTTTGCCCATGCAAAACAAACATTTTCACCCCACATGCAGTGCTTCAAATTTACACACAGAGTGTCCCAGATTACACCTCAGAGCTTCTATAATTCAAAAATTTACCGGGGGGCATGCCCCTGGAAACCCCTACCAGTCAGTATAGCACCCCCTGCTATAATTTTAAAGCTTGGAGAACCCTGTTTATATATATTTAT